CTGCATGACAAAAGCGGAATGCTACGAAATTCAATAGAAGGTGCATTATAAAATTTGTGGAAATATTGATCATAATTTGCTCGGTCAGCCCATAAATGCCTCTGAAACTGTATGCCAATTCTTCTAGAGAATGTGACAAAAACCAAAACTTGAAACTTGAGCTAGGCCAGCTGCATGGCAAAAGCTGAATGCTACGAAACTCAATAGAAGGTGCATTTATAAAACTTGTGGAAATATTTATGAAAATTTGCTCGGTCAACAAAAAAGGATAGCCCCATAAATGCCTCTGAAACGGTGTGACAATTCTTCTAGAGAATGTGACAAAAAACAAAACTTGAAACTTGAGCTAGGCCAGCTGCATGACAGAAGCTGAATGCTACAAGACTCGGTGTGGTGTATATATTTCCATATTTATCAATATTTGTATATAGATATATTAATGATACCTAATATATAATATATAATGCAATAAATACTAAAAAATATATATATATATATACTATATCTATTATTCAAGTATTACTATATGCCGGATGTTGCATGTACTCAAGTCCTGCTTGCAATACCACAAACTCAATTCACTTCAGTCGAAATCCCTGCGCAGATATCACAGAAATTCTTTTGAATATGGCTTAAAGCTGCTTGCAGGCAGCAGTTGGGTTTAATTTATATGGACAGCAACTCGACCCGACCGGTCAAAGGTGTCGCACATAAACCATTCAATCTGACATCGCACAACTGCTGGGCACGGGACAAAGGGACGGAGAACAGACAGCTAGAGGATATGACAATGCTCCTGCATGTTGACCGCAACCAAAACTTTCGATTTCGGTTCGTTAACGTGCAAAGTGAACACGTTTCTCGGCAATGCACGGAGTTACATATATTTGGCTTGATTTTTCTTCCTTTTTTCTGGATTTACCACGTGGGTAACCCACGGCTGCAATTTACCAGGTTTTCATTTTTTTGGCCCGTACATTTGTCGAGTGGTTTTTTTGGTGGTTGCTGTTGCTGCGGCTTCCATATTCATTTGGCGGCGGGCTGCAAATTGCGCACGAAACATGCGAGCGAGTGCAGAAAACCAATTTGTAATAAAGACTACGAATGAGAAGGACATAAAAGTGGACATGGCATGGCGAGGCCAGTCAGTCGGATTACATGGCAAGCGAAAGATGTTGACACATCACGCAGCATCACAGACTGAGAATGAGAGAGAGAGAGAGAGAGGCAGAGCGAGAGAGGGTAGTGGGAGTGAGAGTCTGAGCAGATTCTGGCATTTGAATGTTTTCAATTAACTTTATGTAGATAAATAGCCAACAACTAGCATTGATGCCCTCGGGCGCTTTAAAAGAAAAGAACAATACAAGGAAGGGAGAAAAAAAATGAATGAGTGTGGCACAGTCGGAGGGCAGAAATAAAATGAAACATTGCATAACAGTAAATTACGCGCAGCGGAAATTGCATTATCAGCGTCAAAAGGCGCCAAGGACTATGGCCAGCCAGTCAGGACTATCAAGGACCAAGCCGGCACCTCTCCCCCTCTATCCCTCTCGCATCTCTCTCGGTTTTGGCCCTGCAGCGCTTTGGCACTTCCTGCGCGTCGAGACAATGACAACGTGCATGGGCAGGATGAGACGCAGAATGAGTTGTGATAGTAAACTTTTTGCGACGCGCATAATTACAGCTAAAAGAAAGGGAGACCCGCCCCCTCCGCCTGCTGCGGCTCCTGCGCCTGCTCCTGCTCCTGCTCTTGATCCTTGCGCCAAGACTGATGAGCAGTTTATGACTTGACGCTTTTGCGCTGCATTTAATAATATATTTTTGCTGTCCTGTATTTGCTGGCCCTGACACTAGCTGCACATTTGTAAATAACAGTTAATAACAAAGTGGATTACTCTTGGCAGTGCAGCATTTATATGAAAATTTAATGAATTGTTAAAGCCAAGTTAACATTAGGGCGCACATGTGTGCACTCCAGACCGAAGGGTTCCCTTAACTTTCATTTCCAATAAACTTGAGTGCCGTCTCTGGCCCTCCACCCCTCTCCGCCTACACACACAAATGGAAATTTTACGTAGCCGTGCAGGAAAGTGAGGAGGAAAAGTGCCCTTTAAAATCACTTTATTATGCATGCGTGCCAATGGCTGTGCGGACACATTTGTTACCATACGATAATTTATAAGAAAAACGCTCTCCGCTCTCATTCTCATCGAACCGAGCGAGCCGAACCAAACCGGCGACACATTCACATTCCCGGAACGGCGCTGTCTTCGAGCGATAAAATGGCAGAGCGCCGACCGACACGCGTCTTAATCATGAAAATTCATATTGAGTGCCGGCACATGCTCGATAACGATAGCTACTCATAGGTAGATAGATGCATATACCCTATAGGTATGCTTACATATGTATGTATGTACGTATGTAAGTGTTGCTCTGGGCTGTCTTTGAATTAAAATTTCAAGAAATTTATAAGACACTTGCTGTCTGCAATTGACGATATACATACATAGCTATGTGCTGAGTCTGAGTGTGTGTGTGTGTGTGGGCAGCCAACAAGTGCAGGGCTTGCCACATGCCACACGCAACACGCCCCCGCTGTCACGCCCCCACTGTCGCAGCCTTGTCATCGCACACACAAAACAGCTGCACAATTTCCGTTAAAAACTTTGCGCTCAAACTTTTTATGTGCGACTTTTGGCAGTGGCAAAAGACAAAGCAGCGCAAGAGAAAGCAGAAGCTGAATACTCTGCCTTGACACGATGAGTGACAAATGTAATGGCATAATGAAAGACAAGGCGGACTGCATTCAATGTACATATATTAAGTTATTCTACTTTTGTTAGATGAGTTTTCTATAGTAATTATCTAGCAATAATTTATCAACTATAAATAAGGTTAAGCAAATATTCAAAATTAATAATGAATAATATAAATCACATAGATTTTTAGGTTTTCATATCTATATCAACTAAAAATAAGATATAAATATAGAATTAATTATTTTTAAAGAAGATCTATTATATTTCTTAATATATTTCTGGCTATTCAAGCTATACTATATATATACAATTAAAAAACAATATATAAATAAATTATTAATTTGTACTAATAATCGAAAGATTTATTTATATACTTTTATCTATGAAAGCTTTATCATATATGTATAACAAATATTAAAAAAACAAAAAATAATAAATTATTAATGTATATCAATAATCTATTTATTTATAATGTATAATAATAATATAATAATAAATTTTAACCAATAAAATAAAATGTATACTTTTATCATCTGCTGCTCAGCTAGCGGCTGGCCAAAGCCAATAAGAGTCTAGTTAGACTCTTCGCATGCCTAAGTTAGAGTCAGTTGGAAGTTTCCGCCGCATGCACTTCAATTGCGTCGACATTTACATGCCTGAGTCATTGGCCAAGAGACCGCATTCTGTCTCTCTTCCTCTCTTACCACCCCTCCCTCCCTCATTCTTCCCTCCCCCCACCCACTCGCTGAGCAATGTCTTACATCTGCTTTGACTCTAATAGATTTTAATCAGCCGCAGGATATACGCCTGGACGCTGCCAAGGACAGCGACAACATGCTGCTTTTTTGGAGGCCAGCAGCAGCGACAGCTGCTGATGATGAAAATCGCCCACGGCGCACAGCTTTAATTATACGATTTGTATAAAGCATGCATACAATCGAAACTGAATATATGTATATCCTCTAAATTTGAAATGCCCATTAAATTTGAGCTGTGTTCTACCACCCACACGCGCAGACAATTTACGAGCAACACCTCGGGGGGGGGAGAGAGGAAAGACGCCAGCTTCACACGCCTAATGAGGCACTCAGTGACTGCATAGACCTGTAAAAAGCTGTTGCATTTCGGTTTCAGCACTTTGACACGTTTGCCACATAAGTAGACGCTAGCTGGGCGCAAACATATTTCTTTTTATTTACGTAATTGGCTGAGTGCCTGCGGGCATTTGGCGCTTTGCGTCAGTTTATGGCCGGCAAAAGTGCTGCTGCTATATATAAATAAGTATATACAGATATTTTAATGGCCTTATCGGTTGATATTCGTAACCGCATCCGCATCCGCTACCGTTTCTGGCCATAAAATGACCCGCATAAATGTTGGCCAAGCATTACGCATTTAATTTTCGCCCTCTGCCAGCGAATCAAGTGTGAAATATCAGCTCCTGGACAGCTGGGCCAATAAAAGTGTCAAATGGAAATGCGTATAATGAGCAGCAGAGTTCAGTTCAGCGGTTCACAGCGGCGCTGCCAGGACATCATCGTCCTGCGCTCCTCTTCTCTTAACCAATTGAATGTCAATGTCGCATCCGTTGCGCTTGACTTCTGACCGTCGCGTCGCATCGTTAAAGTGCCTTAAAATGCAAAGTGCCATTATTTGTGTGCATCGTTAAATTTCATTTAAAGCAGCCAGAGTCAGCGATAATTTCGCCTTGCCTTGCCTTGCCCCTGCACTTCCCCTTGTTACACCACAAACTTTCGTTTATCTTGTCATCATCATCTTTATTGGCCGCTGCTGCTGCTGTTGCTGTTGCTGCTGTTATCCTGCGGGCGTGTTGTGTCCATAATGTCGCATGTAATTCGATAGGCCACAGATACCGGCTCACATAACGCTATCTCTTATGCCGAATCTAAAGTCCAAGACAATTCTGCAAATAAAGCTGTTAAGCTGGTAGCTGGCAAAATAAAACAAATTAAATACAATTTCCACGCCATTGAGACTTATTTATGTAAGTATTATAAAAAAATTACTTTTAATGAAATAGAATAGCCATGCGATTACCATACTGGAAATGTAACCAGACGAACTGACAATCGGACGGGCGGACAAACGAGCCGACGGACGGACGGACAGGCAGCAGTTCAGATTATATATAACTATTGAAATCTTTACCAAATAAAATCTAATAATTATCACCCAACCCGTATGCAAGCTCAACTTGCTAATGAAAAAGGCCAATTATTTAAAATAGGTAAATAAAAATATTTATATGAATTTAAACTTGAATTTCGGGTTCGGGTTCATTCTCTTTCTCCAAAAGCTTCACAGTTAGTGGAATTGCGAATACAAAACAAAGTCCCTTGAAAAAAGAACAAAAAAAAAGAAAATAATAGGAGTCAACAGCTTCCTTGGTGATAATGCAATCATATACTTACAGAAGTGATAATACATAGTTGATACGATACGATCAATTCAACTTTAGGCAGTTCGAAAAGAACTAAAAATTTGCTTAGTACGATTTTGCCGAAAAAATATGCCATCATTGTGATTATGAACTGCAATAAATGGGAGTTAAAAAAAAAAAAACAACAACAACTACAAATGCCGTAAATACTTGAGACTCACCTGCTGTAGCTTCAAGATGTGATTGCGATAGGTGCCATAAAAACCAGTGACAATTGGAATATACGCTACGGTATTCATTACAAGCGATACGATTAGACCTGTTTTAATTTTCTCATGACCCTCACATAGGGTCATTACGGTAAAACTGTCGTCAAGAAAATTGCAAGCCTGCACAGATTAGAGCTACCTGAGTATTTATACCTACATTTATGAAGACTGATAAGAACTTACTGCGAAAACGATGATCACGCTCATGGCCGTATATCTCAGGGCCTCAAACTGAAAGAAACACATGCTTATATTTATTTGTATTTATATTTATAGAGCTACTGCCAAATTGTTATTTTTCTCCTTCTGAAATAAGGAACAAATTGAAATAGGCTACTTGGATTCTCAATAAACACAAAAGCTGAATGAAAAAGAAATGTTCATTAAAATCTGCTAGGTCTTACCACGTCAATAAGTCCATAGATGATTAATAGCTAATGTAGTGTAACACGTCGTTCTCATGTAAAACTCAATTAATTTTGATATTAATTCCAGATCATTCGCATTTTATTTGGTTTTTTACTTGAAGTCTCCCAAGTCGTCCATTTTTAGGTACAATGAGAAGGCAAAGATCAAACATAAAACCTAAAGGTAATTGACAAGATATCAATATAACATCCCCTAGTTTTCTCTACTTACCGAAAAGGCAGTTTCCATATGGTACCAGTGGTTCACCAAGGTGTAATAGAATTCGGTATCAAAGCCAACAGCTTGATCCGCAATCAATACCTTACTTATGAAGAAGGTAATCAGAGTGAATATATACTAGCGAGGATCAGGTAAACATAGTGAACTAGTGAAGCACATTAAGGGACTTAAACTTACCAGCTTTAAGGGCCATTGCTTATGAAGAAGAGCCCCATAAATGCCCAAGAAAATGTTCAGGAATAGAACACAGTCCAGTATTATAGACACAATCAGCAGATTCCGCGCAGGGCCATCGAAATTGCTAGCAAATCGTATGCCATAGAAAAGATTACAAGTATTACATATCTAATGGAAGACAATGGTATTCAGTTACTTTCGTCCGATTCACAATTACTAACTTACCAAAACTATGAAACACAGCCCGACCGTTTGGATCTGGAGTATAAATAGTCGTAGGAAGCACATGTTTTTTTGAACCAATTTATACAAATGTTGATGTTTAGTGAAAACGAAACAAAAGTCTCAGGTATGTTCGATCCTCCAGACCAATGATGTGACTAATAATATCGAGACAATCTATACGAAAATATAAAGTAGCACAAGCATAAGCATAACAATCATAATCTCTCACACAGTCTTTTTCTGATTGATTCACTCACAGTACATATTGTGGACAGGATAAAGAATATATCTGACAATATAGACATTATCGTTGTCCTTTCCCGGTCTTGAAAGAGTATCCAAAGAAGGGACTTCAATGTGAGATATACTAACAGGCAGATAGCCAACTAAAATGTACGCAAAAGATTTGTTAGATTAATCTTAAATTTAATCCTTTGTGCGCTTGAAGCTTGAGCTTTAAAAATACCAAAATACTCTAAATTACAAACAGCTTTCAAAACGCTAGCATGCTTGGCTTTTATGTTGTATTATATAAACTTTAAGCAATAGAGAAATTTCATATCGAGCGAGCTTTAAGCTTATTATTATAATTGATTACTTGCGAAAGCTTAACGCGCTTTGTATACTTAATCTTGAAATGTCAGCCTTCTCGTGCATAGCCAAGCAAAAGCTTAGCAAACAAGAAGCTTTCTACACTATTAGGGCTTTAAGTTCATTAAAAAAGCAAAGTAAATTAAGTAGCTGAGACAAAACTTCAAAATGATTTTTTAAAAACTCTTTTAACTTTACTATGAAGGGTCTGAGTCTGTTCTGTCCAAAGAGTACTATAATTCCAATGGTTGATATAATGATCATGAATATAATTGTAAATACGCTTGAAAGGATCATACAAGTTCTGAAAAAAGTCTGATTCAAAATATATGCAATATTCACACCCACTTCGGCAAGGGAAAATTGCTGTCGATAAATAGATAAATAGATATATAATATTTTTATAATTGGGTATACGAGGGACAAACTTCTGCACAATGAGCTTACCAGCAGGATGCATAGAGAGGCTATCGTAGCGATTTTAAGACATCGCCGCGTAAAACTACGGCACATGGCAGATTCTGAATAACTGTAAATATTAAGTAATATTATTAGTCTGAAAAAAAAAGAAAACACTGTAAACATAAGTGACAAGTATTTCAAGTGAAACATCGTTATTTACAACAGCCAGCCCACAAGATGTTCAACTGTAGTCAGCCAGAGACACATGTGCAACAACAACAACAACAACAACTACTAGGAACATTGTTGACAATTTCCAGTTGAGCACACAAAGCTAAAGGAGAAGACAGTATCGACTGCTGTGGAACAACCCCTACAGGGCACACGGATAGACCCCTAGTCAGTGGCTGTCCTTGCCAGTTGGGCTTGTCCTTGTCCTTGTTGGTTGTCCCTTTGCTTTGCCTGCTGAAATAATCGCCGCAATAATCTGTCAACGACAGCTGTTGATGTCATAAAAACCTTTTGAAGATGTAAAGATGTTGTCACACACACACACACACACACAGAGTGTGAGAGAGAGACAGAACAACAACAACAGAAGGCTAATGATAATTTGCCACAATTTACACTGAAAGCAGCCACAGCAACAGGAGTTGCCGCAACAGGAGTCGCCCCACACGCGCCAACAACTCCAGCCCCAACCAGCCGCATCTAATGGCTGGCGATAAAATCATTGATGAAGCCAAAAAGCTAATTGAATGTTAATCGCTTCACATTGACATTGCACGTGGCTGCGCCCGATAGCGGCTAAAAAGGTGAGCATTGAATTTGCATAGACTGATGATAAATCAACAGGCGGGCGGGGCTTCAAGGCTTCGCCTGTGCCCTTGCTCATTTATTTATGCCACAACAAGACGCAAATCAAATGCAAACAGGCTTTAAATTAAAAATTAAATTTTAATCTACAGCGCTGGGCCAGCATAGCCGCGGGCCAAGCAATGATCCGTATCAGTTGAGAGCAGCTCAACAAGATGGCATTCAGAGGGCAGGGAGCGGTCGTTTCTTAGAGAAACCAAACTCACATCTTTTGGCTGGACCTTTGTCTGCGACTATGACATATCGCGATTGTGAATTGTCTGAGCTGCCTGGGCTCTCAGTTCCTTTCTACTTCTTCTCTGCTTCAGCTCTGTCTGGAATTTGCGTTACAACAACCTCAAAATTTGTTTATGTTGCGAGAGTTTGGGACGAGCTGTGGAGACATCCAGAAATTTCCTAAGAAAAAGGAAGTTTTTCTTTCAGATATATAATATATATTATTATATTTATTATTAGTAGATGAGCATAATTGAAAAGTTTTATATATGCTAACACAGTTTTAATAATTCATGTATTTAAAAGTAATATTTGATAGAATTTTATTTTATTTTATTTTTCTTTAAATGAGTAATAATTAAAAAAAGTTCACAAACTTTGTCTTGACTGAATTTGTCATCTTTGATAATAGTCAAATCGCAAAGCTTCAAATACATTTGCAGCAGTTAACAAAACGAACGAAAATTCGGCCCATTCAATGTTGGCCAACACGATGAACAGCAAAAACAGCAGCAGCTCGGCAACACTGAAATTATTGCAGTTGCCTGGCATGTACAGTTAACATTTGCTGTTGCACAAACTTTTCAATTGGACACTCGAAAGTGGAGCGTCTGGCCATGACGTGGACAACATAAAATGCAGTCACAGCTGTCTGGTTATGGTGGAGGGGGGAGGGGGAAGGGCGCTTCGGTTCGGCCCTTTTCACGTTTTGTGTGCCATGTCCGATACAAATAGCACAGATGGCATTGGCCAAATAGACACAGATGCATCAATTGTCTAATTGTTTGCCGAGACAGAGTCGTCATAATGTCCATCAAATTACGGACCAAGAGTTGACTTGGCTTGGCTTGGCTTCAGCTGGGATGCGCTCGGGCTGGGGTCACAAATACTATGTGAGGGTGTCTGGCAGCAAAGCTCGGCTGTCTGGCTGTCTGGCTGCCTTGCTGCTGTTGTGGGGACTGCCCGTGGGATAGGTAAATTTGATTTATGACTTATTATGCGTCTTATGTCCTTTCATAATTTAATTATAGCAGGACATAGCTGCACAGACACCGAACAACAGACTGGGAATGTGACTGCGACTGCGAGAGTGAGAAATGCACTTTTTATCTGCCCCCAACTCGCTCTCTCTCTTTCTCTGTGTGTGTGTGTGTGTGTCGTATAAACACAATAAAGCATAATGCTCTGTTATTTAAATGATGAAAATTCGCTTACGCAAATTGCATTGCAACAATTGTTTATGCTCAGCTGCATGCGCAAGCAGTTTGTGCAAAAACCAAAAGCGACAAGCCCAAGCCCAAGCAAAAGCAAAAGCCAAAATGCAAATGTAATTAAACTGCACTTAGGCCAGTTCTCATTCCACTCTCTCTGTGTGTGTGTGTGTGTGAGTGTGCTTGGTATGCCAAATGAAATTGAAATAAATTATTGACTAATTGTCAAGGCAGACAGATAGACAGACAAAGGGAGAGAGATAGAGAGAGAGAGAGAGATGGATGGATGGACAGACAGGAATCAGGCCCACATGGCGTATGCGCAATCACAACTGCAGCTAATTTCGTAAGAAAAACGTGTTTGAGTCTTGCCCTTTTGTCTGCTTTTTAATGCATATCTTCATTTAATTTGATTGTTTATGTGCGCATTAGCCAGGGAATTGTCGAGAAATCAATGTCACCTCGACTGCGCACACTGTGGTCTGTGGTCTGAGCCAAACGCCTGCTCCAAATCCAAAATAAAGTGTTTTACAATCACTTTTTAATAAGCTTTCAATTAGATGATTGGACAGATGCCTGTCGAATGCCAATTGCAAGAGTGTGAGCTAGTTATGAGTGCCATCCGTACACCTGAGAGTATGACGAAGCTCTTTTAGAAATTAGCTGCGGCCGAGAGTTGAGCTGATTGTCAAAGTGATTGAGTTGACACATTCAGGAATTTGCATTCGTTTTGAGGCTATTTACAACATTATTTGAAACATCAACATCAAACAGATGTCAAAGCAGTTATCGAACAGGTTGGATTGAAAATTACTAAAATTAATCTACACATAAAATAAATCGTAATTCCCTCAAAATAAAATAAATCAGTAAATCTGAATATATATAATTCATTGAGAATAAAATAAATAAATAAATTAATAAAATAAAATATACTATTATATTATATACATATTTTATGTATATTTTTGCGCTAACCAATATCTTACATGTATGCAAAAATATAATATATATTAATACTAAGCTTAAAAAAATTATTTACTTTAAGTAGAAAATTATTTACTTCCGTAGGATTTTGGTATGTGTTGCATTCATTAATATTGTATATATATTTCATATTTATATGTTCATTTAATGTATATTCATTAGTAGTAAATATAGTTTCAAAGTCTCTTGCAGCCTTGTCTTTTATTCTCAAACAACTTCAAGATCAGACACCCAGAGCAATAACCCTTGTTAAATCAAATATTACCAAAAACGATATGATATGTGACTGCTGAGTGACCCAGAAAGCAAACGTAACTCTGATTGCTGTTATATCAGCTGAATGAGCCGATAATTAACAGACAATAATTATGGCAAGTGCAAAAGGCACAACTAAGCGGGTCACAATTGACTCTGTTTGCTGTTTGCTCTGGCCAAACTGGATGGCAATGAGACGGATTTTGATTTCGATGTCCATTTCGTAGATCAATGGGCCAATGGGCCCTCGCCAGTGCCAGCGGGCACTTAACGTGCTGGACGGTGTGCGAAAATAAATGTTAAATCCAATTAATGGCATATAGTAATTGTGAGGCGTAAACACGCCCCCGCCACGAGCCGCGCAGAAAGCGGCTTAGCGGCCAAGCGAAGGCCACCACGACCCAACGAGATGACGTCGCAAAAACCGGCTTCCAGCTTCAGCTTCGACTCCCAGCTCCACCTCTAGCTCCAATTGTTTTCAACTGCTCTGATATAATTCATTGAACAATTGTGCGTTTATGGCTTGTTTGACTTCATTTTGCTTAGCCCCGCCAAAGACTTGCGGCCCAGCCTCGAAACGGAAGCTTTGCCAAGGTTTAACACAAATATGATTTTTTTTTTTTTCAATATGTTTTATTATCAATATTAACGAATTAATCAACATTAACAAGAAGTTTCAACAATTCGTGGCGCCAGCTCGTGTCTAGAAGCCCCAGTGGGTGCCGAAGCCATCGAAGCTCATGTGGGAGACGCTCTCGGCGGGCGAGTAGCGCACGGTCTGGGAGCTGCCGTAGCTGGAGACGCCCAGGGCGGGTGCATTGTGGGTGTAGGTGGTGGCACTTGGTCCATGGTTCACGTTGGTGGTGGCCAGTGGTGCGGCATAGGCGACAGCTGGGGCGGCATAGCTCTTGGCGATCACGGGTGCCGAGTAGACAGTCTTGGACAGCACAGGAGCAGGAGCAGCGTAGGAGACGGTCTTGGCCAAAACTGGAGCAGGAGCAGCATACGAGACGGTCTTGGCCAGAACGGGAGCTGGAGCAGAGTAGGTGACAGTTGGAGCACCATAGGAAACAGTCTTGGCCACGACCGGAGCAGGTGCCGAGTAGGTGAAGGATGGGGCGCCATAGGACACGGTCTTGGCCAGCACTGGAGCTTGAGCAGCGTAGAGAGTCTTCTGCACGAGAGGCGTGGCCTGAGTGTACAGAGGAGCCGCATAGGTGGTCTTTGCAATGGCCGGGGTGTACACATTGTTCTGGACACGAGTGTCTGTCTTGCGCACGCTGGAGTAGGGCGTGTCAACGGCCTTGGAGTAGCTGGAGACGGTGCCGCCGAAGGAGCGCACCACATTTTGCTGCGTGGAGGCAACGGCATCCACGGCAGGATTAGCCACGGCCACATGGCTGGCCAGGAGACCGGCATTGGCATAGGCCACCAGGGCGCAGAGGGAGATGACGTAACGGAAGGCCATTGTGCGGAATGGAACGAATAACTGTTGCTAGCTGACGGCTGACTGGGCTGCGACTGATGCTGATTTGGCCAAAATGTTGCGGCTTTTATACGCGGCTGACGCGTGCCAAAACGACGAATGTTTGGTAATTGAGCCGGCCCACAATGAGAGATGCGAAATTGTTGTATTGCTGAGCCGGATTGTCTGTCTGACTGTCTCAATGTCTCTCTGTCTGTCCGTTGAGTATTTGGCAATTATTTGAAAGCCAATTTGTGACCATAAATTAAACGTCGTAATTACGTTTGCTGAGCGACGGACTCAACGGCACACGTGTAAAATTAATAACAATTTGCCAAAAACAAAAAAGAAAAAGAAACCAAAAAAAAAAAAAAAAAAAAAAATGCGAGTATCTAAAACACAGGCGGCTAAAGAAATGGGGCGTGGCAGTCATCCCAAGTTGGCAACACAATTCAATTTGGGGGACAGGCGGCAACTTTGGTAATTTCAATAAATATTCATCATGCGCCCCGTGTGCCACAGGAGCAGCACCAAAAAACTTGCACGAAAGTACAAAAATCATAAACAACAAGAGTAAAAAAAAAAAGAAAAAGAAAAATAACATCCCCACAGCAAAAAGTTGACACAAGCTGAAGAGTCCTTGACTGGGCCGTGGTGGGCGGGGCATATTTGCTGCTTGAGTTGAACTCAATTTAATGGAAAAATACGCGCGAACGCAATAAAAGTTTTTTGCTGTTGTTGTTGTTCTCTGGAAAATTTATGAGCTGCTGATAGTATTCAAAATAATTCACTTTTCGAACTTCGACATCGACATCGACTCCCACTCCAATTCCAACTCCAGTTCGAGCTCCAATTTGGACGGCTTTTTGGCTCGTCATTTGCCGACCCATTGAACCAGTTTCAGTTTTGGTTTGTTTGGGGCGGCGGCTTAGGCCTAAGTCGCGCTGTCTCGCAAATGTTAAGGCCATTGCGACCGTGAAATGTTTTTGGCCAACACATTTTGGCCAGTTGGTTTTTTGGCTATTTAAGCTGCGGCGCCGCTCCAGTTAGGCATCAGTAACCATTCCAGTTGCAGTTAAACAACAACCTCACCCAGCAGTCATGGCATTCCAGTACGTCCTCCTCTCCATCTGCGCTGTGCTCGGCGCCGCCAATGCTGGCTACCTGGCTCCCACCAGCTATGTGGCCGCTGCTCCCGTGCTGACCAAGGTGGCGCAGCCACATTTCGATGCCGTCGGCACCACCCAGCATAATGTGGTGCGCTCGTTCGGCGGCACCGTCGCCACCCAGTCCAAGAGCGTCGTGACACCCTACTCCAGCTTCAGCAAGGTGGACTCGCGCACCACCAACAACGTCTACACGCCCAAGACTCTCTACAGTGCACCTGCTGCCGTGGTCACCAAGTCAATCTATGCTGCTGCTCCTGCTCCAGCTGTCACCTACTCTGCTCCTGCTCCCGTGCTGGCCAAGACTGTCTCCTATGCCGCTCCAGCTGTCACCTACTCTGCCCCAGCTCCAGTTCTGGCCAAGACTGTCTCGTATGCCGCTCCAGCTCCCGTTCTGGCCAAGACCTATGCCGCTCCAGTTGCCTCATATGCCGCACCCCTTGCTGCCCCCGCTGCCTATGTGAAGTACTCGCCCGCCATTGGCGTCGCTCACGTCAGCTTCGACGGCTTCGGCTCCCACTGGGGCTACTAGGTTGAGCCCTGGCGCTCAGCTCTTGTTGTAACTGTTGTTGATCACACGAATTAAAATTTAGTTGCGAAAATAACTATAAGCAATTGTCTTTGTTTATTTTTGTTAATTTTAGCAATTTTAACTGGTTTATTTGTTACCTGCACTCCACTTTGCTCCATCGTCTGTCTCTGCTCAGTTAATGGCAGTTGGCGACATTATGTCGCGACATTAGCTTGACAACAGCTCAGCACGACGTTGGCAAAACTTGTTGAGTTGTTTGATAAGCAGCTCTATTTTGACGATATTATATAAGATATACATATATGTATATGTACATATATATGCATAAGATATAATGCGCAATCCATAACAATCCTGGTTTATTATTGCACCTCTGTCCGTTTCTCTGCCTCACTGTTCCATCTTTCATATCCGCATTTCATTTCCTTCTGTACCAACATTCCGCTCTCTATCATTGGCTCTGCTCTGTCTAACTTTGTTCCATTCTTCCATATACACTCTCATACTCCCTCCCACAATGTAACTGTTTCTGTATCTATCTCAGCCGCTCTTTGTCTCTCGATCTTTCTTTATTATTTCTATCATTTTCGCTTCCTCGTCGCTGTCTTATTCCCTCTCTCTCTCTCTTTCTATCTCTCTCTTTGAATCCATATGTTTATTTCTCTCCCTTGCTCTACCATCTACCATTCTGGTCATGTGCTTCTATCTATCATTTCCCTGTCTCTCTCTCTCTCTCTCTCTATCTCTCTATCTATCATACTCACCTTATATCTCGTTCTTACGCTCTCTCTCACTCTGTGCCGCATTTACTATATATCTTCCTATATCTCTTTCTCTCTGTCTATCTCTCTATCTATCTCCACATTTCTTTATCGTTCTCTCATTCCACTCTCTCTCTCTCTCTCTCTCTCTCTCTCTCTCTCTCTCTCTATGTATCACTCCTTCTCCCCTCCCTCTCTCTCTCTCTATCTGAATAACCCCTTTCTCTAGCTGATACCTGCACCCCTTAAGCGCTGCCCCTCACATTAGTTCAACATTTAATGGGGCGTATGTGTGCCATAATTTTATGCCTCTCGCCCAGGCTCATCCCCATGTAGCGCCGCCCACTCCATATACATATTTATGCACATATTTATCTTCATTCTTTTTTCACAGGGTCGCAAAATATTTAGTGCAAAACTTTTTGTTTGTCTTTGCGCTTTGGCGGCAGCGGAGGCGAGGTGACGCGGCGGGAGGGCGCACAAAAAATTGTTGGCCAAAGTTTAATGAGCCACATGACCCCTTTGGTTTTTCAGTTAGCCCCGAGTTGTGCTCGCCTTTGCACCATAAACTTTGCAATGGGACCCATCGCCAGCTCGGCAGCTCAGCAGCTTGACCAAAGTGTTGTTATTGTTATTGTTATGGTTATGGAGGTCTGTGGCGGAAAAGTTTTGCCAAATTGTCGAGCAGCTGAAAAAAAAAAAGAATTACAGAAAAAATAGTATTAACTGCTTGGGCCGCAGCAAACTATTTAGCCATAAAGTTAGACGTACTGCTGGGCATGTTTTATGCATTTGGACGGGCATGAAAATTGTTTTTCATTTAATGTTGACAACAATAAAATGTATATGCACACAGACACACAGACAGACAGGCAGCTGAAATATGTAAAAACTCTCAAACATCCTGGTCCGAGTCATCCGATTGTCCTTGAATATGTGCTCAGTCGCCTGGCTGCATTTCGCTTTTGCATATTGTTTTCGAGTATTCAGCTGGTTAGCTGTCCGAGCTGTTGTTTGGGTATTTGCAATAGTTTTCAATTCGCCTTTGTTGATTTCTTTATTGGCTCATGCATATGCAGAGCGAGCAGAGCTCGGACACTCGGACAATGGCAAACAAGGATTCAGGCAGCCAGCCAGGCAGACACTCGAGTGTTTATCGTTATTGATTGCAGCCGGTGAAATATGAGAAGTGTAAGTCCCTGCCAATATCAATTCCCATTGAAATTCCCATCCAATTCCCTATTTCAATGCCATCCAATTTGTCTTCCAAATGCAAATTCAATTTGCCACTAGAGAAAGACGTAGTCCGCGCGCAATTCTTGACAGCTGCGTTTGGGCGCCTTGATTCGCCTCAGATAGCAATAGAAAACGGTCATCATCACGATGAGCACCAACTGTAATCGATATACACGATAGGCACATTAATCGCTCCAAGTGCTTACACCCTCAGGCTAACCAGTAAAATTGGAGTGATTAGCTCAAGGTGAATGAATCGCTCGCCTTTTCCATTCACATGGAGACAGCCCGTGGAATGCAGAGTATGGGTCGTTCGGCTTTCAGCGGTGAAGCAGCTGCGTGGTAATTCCCCATATGCGAGCAGATAATCATCGGGGCCCAGGGCGCCGCAGCACTTGTACTATGGCAGAGAACTCCAAGTGGGAAAGCGAAATTGAGTTGAGGAGATCAACTCACCTTTATCTCATAGCTGGTGAGGCTCTCGCTTTTCGCCCATTTCGCGTGGACTTCGTGGACGAGCGGATAGGTCTGTGTCAGCACCATGTTGATCATTAGCTGCAGCCAGCTACAGGCGAGCAGACCTGTCAAGTACTGCAGAAGGATATCATATAATATCGGAGATAACAATAGAATATCGAATACTTCACGACTTACAGTGCGCAATGTCTTCAAGTTCTGAAAGAGCAGCAAGATAAATCCCAATATTAAAACGATAGACACTAGCAGAGACCCCGCAAGCATACAGGCTTCATATTTCACAAAATCACAGTCTGGAGTACCAGAATAGTGGTAGACAATCACCGAGCAGTGGTGGACATCGATGATGGCTGAGATCTTTCAGTGAAGTATATCAACATGTATCAATAGATTTGTACATCTGCCGTACGTTAACTAACCCAGCATGCGATAATGAACAATAGGATAAGCCAGCGAAATCCAATCAATGACCAGTTCCTCCCAGGGGCATTGACTGGCCGACCAATTCCCAGACTCAGCGCCGATTTATTTACTGCCAGCTGAAACGGAATGGAAACACAATATCAAAGGAAATTAGCTACAATATATGCAATAGAACTAGAATATAATAGAATAGAAGCTCTATGACGGTCTGGTTAAACAGACTGCAAATATTTCTATCATCTAATTTTGTGTGTGTGTTTTTTTTTTAAATGCCACTAACTTGTGCAAATTAAGTTTAATCATAGCAAGCTGTACCACTATAGACTTGAAAACCTCATCTATTGAGTTTCAGACTATTTCACAATCAAACTGAATGCAATAGAATTTGTTCTTCTAAAGATCTATGTCAAAGGTATGGTCTGCCTTCTCCACAGTTGATGTTAAGCACAAAGTTAGATATCGAAATATTATTTGATATGATTTCTGTTAGACAAGGTAGCTATACTGCTTTAAGAGTTCTTAAGTATAAAGCTCAAACTGGCCTAGGTTCTTGAAGATCTGACATCATTTAGCCGAGCTCTGTTGAGACAAAATCGGGAAATTCTTTATCCCACTTCCAAATATTCAATTTTATATAAGCACTTACCATCTTTTTTGTGTGTATGAGTTCTGTTTTTATCAATGGCAATTAAATATATATGGCAAACAAAAACATATAAATATTTGAGTTTAAATTGCTTTTGAAGTATTTAGAAAATGTAATTGAATATTATCAGGTGTACAAACAACAAACAAAATATCAAATAACTCTGCAGCCTAAACATAGATATTATATGCAGGAGTAACATATGTATAAATATAAAAAAAATTAAAAACAGACAAGAAATGTCAAGTTGCCACGCTGAAGCGATTTGTGGAATTTGCATAGATTTGCTGCGGTGTTTGCCTCGGTTTCGCTTAGTTCAGTTTTGGTTGGATTCGGTTCGGTTCGGTTCGGTTCATATGAACGTCTCCAGTCTATGGAATTTTTTAATCAAACAGTTGCCATTAATTACTGCAGAATTCTGCCAGCCACATAACAGACATTTTTTCGACGGACTCCAAATGAATGAAAGCCAAAAGATGGCAAACGGGCAAGAGCCAAGGCGTGGCCAATACTCCTGCTTCACATGTTTTTGCTGCCTTCGTTGTGTGTGGGTGTGTGTGTGTGTGTGCGTGGCAGTAGCAACAAAAAAGATTGCCACGGGCTAAACCGCAACGCAGCCAGTGCTAGCTCGCAACCAGAGAGTGATAGAGAGAGAGAGAGAGAGGGAGGGTGAGAGAGAGAAGGAGAGATAAGCAGAGTGTGGTCTGGGCGCTGTAGACCCATTCAACACAACTAAAAATCAAATTAGGTGCAAACGAGCAGCCGTCAGCGCGCGGTGGCTGCCAGTGGGCGTGGCCGGCGCCCAATGTAATGAATAATTTATAATGCAAAAGCGCTAATATTTTTTTGCTTTTATTTCTGTTGCCTTCGCTCTTAGCTGAAATTAAAATTTTGTGGCTTCGCTTTCATACGCCAGTTAAAGCCAAAGATTCTTGTTGTTCTCAGCTTGCAGCACATGAACTGCAGTTGGTAGGTCGCGGAGGGGGAGAGGGTGGGCCGAGCTGGGCTGATAAATGTGCGTGTGCTGGTGTCAAGTGCACGCTCGTGAATTCAATTTGATATACAAACTGATTTATCGATGCTGAGCAGAGAGCTGTAGTAGAGCTACGCCCACTCTCCCCCCTCCATCCCACGACTCGACTCGACTCTTTGCGACTTCAAGCACTGCCACACGCCATTCATAAGTCAGTCAGTCAGTGGGCCAACGAGCTGCAGCTTCTTGGCGGGGGGAGGAGGCGGCGGTCGAGCGGTCGGGTGGTCGGGCGGGCTCTGTCTGCTCAAGAGACGATAAAAAATTACATACACTTGTAACTGTTGCTGGCTGCAGCCCCTAACAAGGTTAATTTGTTGCGATCGCACAGCGCACTGTCATTTATCTTCGCTGTCAGCGCCAACTCTATGAGGCAGCCAGGCTCTAATTTGAATTTAACAAGCTTCGCATCGAGAGCGTGTCCTCG